ACATTGTAGTCACCATCAGAGTGCTCCCTCAAGAGTGAAAATGACTAATTTTTAGTCCTGGGCCTTGCACTAACTTGAGGTAATAGAAATCACTTTATTTTTTACAGCCTCTTTTTTCACCAGTGAAATACAAATAAAAGAAAAAGGAGTTAAATTATAATGTTATGACTAGTACATCAACATCAGCTTTAACAAACTACTTTCCTTTAAGGTTTTAAAAATTGTTTTTATTAAACATGGACATAATACTCAAGGCTTATAACAGAAATAAGAAGTTCCATATCTAATCCATCTCCATCCCCCAAGAGCAATACATTTCAACTCTTCCAGTTTATTCTGGTATTTATGTATGAATTTTGAGTAATTTCTTGCTTCTTTGACTTTAGACACTGTCTCCTGACTTCTTATCCTGGTAGTGGAGGAGTTAAACCACCATACCTCCTGCTCCTACCGCTTTCTCCCAATACAGCTTTATCATAATTTTTGGTTAAATCAAGAGTTTACATTATTAGGACTATGTAAATATTTAATATTTCTTCAGTGCTGAGTAAATTGATTGTTTTCTTTCGTAAACTGGGATTAACTACAGTTTTCCATATAACTATTATTACTTTGTACAAAAGGCCCAAGAAATATGCCCTACACCTATTAATACTTGATATAATCATTCAAACACAGCAAATCATCTATCAATTCCTTCTCCAGCTCTCAAGCCAAACTCTCCCTTGCCCTTTCCAGGCCATGTGTGAATATCACCGGGGTCTTCGTCATTCCCTAAATCACACATGTCTTTTCCTTGGCATTCTTAATTTGCTGAAGCACATTCTTCAGGAGCTTCCTAAGTAGAGACCTATGGAAAGTATGTTTTAGCCAATGAATGACTGAAAATGCCATTAGTCTAGTCTCACATTTGTCATTTTGACTGGGGAAAAAAATCCAGAAAAAAAATTTCCCAGTATTGCTGAACACGTTCATAGGTTTCTGGTTCATAATCATTTGTCATTTTTCCTAGAATTCCCAGTACTCTAGAACCTTTGTAATATCTTCTCTTTTCTGTTTGTATTCTAAAATTTTAACACATTTCATAGCAGATTTGTATCTTATTCATGTGTGCATGTGGGTCCCCTTTAATCTAAAGATTTATGTCTTCGCTTTTAGGAAATTTTCTCCATCTTTCTTTGTTCATTTTTCTCTCACTCCCCTCAGAATTTTTTCTGCTATGTTCTTTATAATACCCTTGATTAGTGGATGTTATTAATTATCTATGGATGTGTAATAAATCACAGCAAAACTTAGTAGCTTAAAAAAAGCAACAGTCCCAGCCTGGGCAACGTGGTGAAACCCCAACTCCACAAAAAATACAAAAATTAGCCAGGCATGGTGGCATGTGCCAGCAGTCCCAGATACTCAGGAGGCTGAGGTGGGAAGACAGCCTGAGCACAGGAGGTCGAGGCTGCAGCGAGTTGAGATTGTACCACTGTACTCCAGCCTGGACAACAGAGAAAGACCCTGTCAAACAAACAAATAAATCATTTATCATGCTGATGGCTTCTGGGGAGAGGGAATGCTGGGAGCAGAGTAGAGAGATGCCTTATCTCTGCTCCATTAAGTCCAGGGCCTCAGCTGGAAGACTGGAAGGCTGGGCAGCTGGACACTTTGGAAGGCTTGATTTTGGGCAGTTCCTTCCACTTCCAAGATTTCTTGCTCACATGGCTATGAGATGGTGCTGGCAAGTCGACTCCTCTACATGGGGCTGCTTGGGCGTCCGTATGACAGGGGACCTGGCTTCCCCAAGAGCAACTGATCCAGAGATCCAGGCAGAAGCAGCAATGTCTTTTATGACCTAGCCTCAAAAGCCATGTACTGTTCCTCCCACAGTATGTGGCTCCCCATGCAAAGCAGTCCTTATTCACTGTGGGAAAAGGCTACACCGGGTCTGATTACAAGGAGGCAAAGACCCCTAGGGGCCACTTTGAGGTGATTACTCCCATGACATACTGGTACTCTTTGATAGATTCTCTTATTTTCTTAGCTTTGGTTCTATTTTGGAAAGTTAAGTTTATCTGCCAGCCATTCTATTGAAAGTTTTGTTTTAGTTATTTTCATCTTTCAGTAACTTTCTTATTCTCTGATTATTCTTCGTGATGTACTACTTTTGTTCCATAGAATATCTTTCCTTCCCTCACTGTAGATCCTAATGATATGTTTTTATTTTATTCTTTTTGGTTTTTTAAGATTTCCTCTGCTTCCTCCATTGCCTGTGTTTTCTACACTTGCTTTTTTGCTTGGATTTGTCTCACCCTGCGGAGGCTTTCTTCAAATATCTGGGGATTATAGACTTGCGCATTCATGTTTGAGAATAAGATGCTCATATGCCCCTCACAGGGCATACAATGGGGGTGTGGCTCACTTCTTCGGTGCCCTACTACTCAAACCTCTAGGGGGAGCAGGCAGACGGGCAACCTATGGGGCTCTGACTCCATGGCGGCATCTAGGGTGAATGTTCACAGCTGAAGCCCCAGTGGGCATGTGTTACATACAGTATGCTCTTTCAGTTTAACCGCCTATAGGCGGCTTGTGTTTATCATCTCAATTATACTCTCTGCCATATCACAAGGACAGAGGGCTTTCTGTATCCCGGGTTCTTGCCTTGGTATACTGGAAGAATCGGACTCACACGGGGGCTTGGAGAATAAGTGCAAGGTTTTACTGAGTGGAAGTAGCTCTCAGCAGACGGATGGGAGCTAGAAGGGAGATGGAGTGGGAAGGTGGTTTTCCCCTGGAATTGGGGGGCTCAGTGGCCGGGCTCTCCTCCAACCGCCCCAGCCAAACTTTGCGTTGTTCCACGGTCGATGGCCTGCTGGCGTGTGTCGGTGCCTGTGGTATGCTCTTCCACCAGTGTGTTCTTCTCAACATCCATCCGCTTGTGTCTCTTCCTGCTACGATCTCGGGGCTTTTACAGCCACAGGATGGGGGCGTGGTGGGCCAGGGTGGTCTTGGGAAATGCAATATTTGGGCCCAAAAACAGAAATGCCTGTCCTCACCTAGGTCCATGGGACAAGCCCGGGGGTGGAGGTGTCACCAGGGACCCACCATTCTCTACCAAGCACTTCCCTGCCCACCTCCCTTCAGGAGAATACGTATGCAAGTATTGTTGCAAAACACTCTTGACTCACATAAGCACAGACATACACACACCCCTGAACCAAATTAAAACAACAAACAAAAGTGGGCATGGCTCAGGAAGCAGCAATGTCCTTCCTTATTCGGGACAAAAACCCTGGCATCATGTTTGACTGTTCTCCATCATTCATGCTACATATCCAATTCATCAGCAATTCATACCACTTTAAAACCCAAGGCAGCCCAAACCCAACCACTGCTCACCACCTCCTCTGTGACCACAGATGCCCAAATGGTAACCATCGCCTGCCCGGACAACTGCCAAAACTGTCTAATGGCCCTCCTTGCCTTAGCCTTGTCCCTCTACAGCTTATTCACAAGACGGCAGCCAGAGTCATTTTGTAAACTTCGATTAAATTCCTCCTCTACTTAAGACCCTCCAGAAGGCAGTGAAGGGTTTTAAGTGGAGGAGAGACTTACATTAGGTCAGTATACATTACTAGAAAATTATCACCTATCACATACATTTAAATGTGAAATATGAAGTAACAATACTAAAAGTGGTACAAGCTGGCATGGAGAACTGGTCTTCAAGTGACTTTCTTTAGGTTTCCAAAACATCACTTTATCTAGTGTCTTCTGAAGGTTTTATATAGAGTTAATCTACCTCACACAGGATAATCCATGCCCTCATCCTTTACTTCTGTTTTTGCTTCTCTGATTCCCTCCCCAGAATGTTCCTCAACCACCTGCTCTGGTGACACCGACTTTTTTGCTCAAACTCACCAAGTATTCTCCTGCCTTCTCCACAATGCACAGCCTGCACATCAGCATGGCATGCTCCTTTATATCATTCCAGGATGCTCCGATCTCACCTCCCCAGAGAGGCCTTCCCCCAAATAGTCTGCATAAAAGAGCACCTCTACCTGCCCTTAGCAATCTCTCCCCTGAGTGCCATGGAGATACTGCACAATGATTTACTACTGCCTATTCTTCTGGGCCAGCAAAAGAGGGGGCCTTGTCTGGTTTGTTCATTGCCATATCCCCTTTGTTGAATGAATGAATGAAACTGGGCTGCAGGGAGCTGATAAAGTGACAGGCTTGCCTTTACCTTGGGAGACCTTCAAATATTAGATCTGGACTCTTTTTCCTGGGGATAATCTATTTCTCTAGTGAAGACACCACTATGCCCTGCCATAGCTGGAGGGGTGGGAAGATTCATACCTGGCAGCTGGCTTCAAAAGGTCAGGCAGGGAAAGGCCTGGGGGTCCCTAAGGCCAGCATGCAGACTTACTTAATCCCCCTGGTTTTAGGCCCTTCAACACAGCTGCATCAGTACCCTCAAGAGCTTCCTGCTATACTTTTTCCAGAGGATAAACTGGGAAACGTTTCTACAAGTTACAACAGAGTAATCACCTGGCAATACAAGCAAAGATGAGCAACTGGGAATTTGACTGTTTTGTAGTCAAACTTTTAAACAATCTCCTTACTTCAGTGCAGTGCTTCAGCCTACCTTCTGTGACAGCACTGAGACAGAGGTGTGTCCAACAAATTGATTCTAGTCTTGTCACATCGCCCTCTACAAGCACGTGGGTTTGCACATCCTCTGTTCTGCTAGGCGTCAGCACTCCATCTGCTTCCTGACTTAACAGAAACGTGTGAAAATCTCTCACCCACTACTCACTGTCCTTGAGGTTTAGTAACTTTTCAAAAGTTTTTTTCTTTCACTCTCATTTTAGGAGTTTGTAAAGAAGCAGTGAACCTATGTCCATCCTCCATATTTAACCAGGATTCCTGAGCTGCTCTTCAACTACTTAGCATTCCCTGGGTACCTGTCTAGCAGAAAAATTACTCCTCTATTTCAAATATGGTGAAGACGTTTCTAGCTCAAAATCTCACTCTATCAAACACATGGTCCTGAATTAGTATTGATCAAGGCTGAGATTCAGACTTTAAAGATTTGAAAATAAAAACACAGACCTTTGTTGTTTTGCAAAGATTGCTTCATCACATACACTAAATAACTGGTGCTGAACTCTCAAGATAATATGCCTTTAAAAACAGAGACAGCTCTCTCACCTCCCAATACATTATGCGGAATTGAAGTTTACACAAAGGAAGCTAGCACTTTCCTAGATGAGTAAAACTGATATAATCTATAACTACAGCTATCATCAAGGTAGATAAAAATTTTCAGTTGTTAAGTAAAAAAGTCACATTTCACAGTATAGACTGTTACATTCAAAAGTACATAAGGCACAAAACTTAAATGATGATTTATACACAGAGAAGTATGCTTGTTATATTAAATACCAAGCATTTCCAGGGAGAAAAAGCAGAGGTAAAAAGCTAGGAGAAACTTAAAAAAAAAAAAAAGGCAGATTTAGAATAAAGGAACTGGAGAAACTATAACCATTTTACAAATAAAAATTTGAGTATTTTCCAAAAATCAGCCAGGCATGATGGCAGGTGCCTGTAATCCCAGCTACTCGGGAGGCTGTGGCAGAAGAATCATTTGAACCCAGGAGACGGAGGTTGCAGTGAGCCAAGATCACGCTATTGCACTCTAGTCTGGGCGACAGGGGGAGACTCATCTCAAAAAAAATTTTTGAGTACTTTCTACCAAAAGAGAAGATAAAAGTTTCTAATAATACAAGTCAGACCACTTTGTCAATCATTTATACTGTTACTTATCTATTGAAAACTAGGGAAATAAAGCCTAGCCGACTTTTTAGTAGAAACTGACAAGCAGTCAATGAAACGCAGAGACCAAAAACAGACACGCATACATACGACATGTATATATTAAGTGATTTTCAACAAAGGTGCCAAAGCAATTCAATGGTGAAAACAGTCTTTTCAACAAGTGGTAACAAAACAACAAAACTTCACCCTTGGCTCATATCATATCTAAAGATTAACTCAATGAATTAGCCTAAGTGTAAGAGCTAAAACTATAAAGCTTCTGGAAGAAAGAGAAAAGCATAGAGAACAATTTTTCAAATATAATACAAAAAGCACAAGGTATAAAAACAAGAATAAACTGACTTCATCAAAATTTAAAACTTGCTTTTTAAAAAACAGTCAAGAAAATAAAAAGGCAAGCCACAGACTATAAGATATTTGCAAAACTTATGTCTTACAAAAGACTTATATTTAAAATACATAAAGAACTCTTACGACTCAGTAAAACAAAGACAACCCAATTAAAAAATGAACAAAATATTTGAACAGAAACTTCACCAAAGAAGGTATGTGGGTAGCAAATAAGCGCATGAAAAGATGATCGACATTAGTCATCATGGAAATAAGATTCTACTACAGACCCACTAAAATGGCTAAAATTTAAAAAGACTGACCATACCAAGTGCCGGCAATGATGTAAAGCAACTGGAAAGGTCAGTACACATTAAGAGAAAAATCACCATCTATCACATACACTTAAATGTGAAATATGAGGTGACAATACCAAATTGGTACGAGCTGGCATGGAGAACTGGTCTTCAAGTATTATCAGACCTTTTTTAGGTTTCCAAACCATCACGCTATCCATGTTTAAAATAATGTAGCAAATTAAATTCTTTCTTTACACTTTACAGTCTTTAAACAAAGACTGACTACAAAAAGTAAGTCTGGGTCATTTCACCTCCATTTGAATTAACTATGTTAAAGAATTATGACCTATTCAGCTTTATAGCATCTGTTCAGAAACAAAACAAATAAGATCTTTTTGACAATATTTTAAAGTTCCACTTTCCACCTGGTTATCTCTTCTAAAAGAATCACAGAATCTCAAATTTGGAAGGGATCTCGGGCATCACATAGTTTAGTCTTCCATGCAATGTAAGCTTTTTTTTTTTTTTTAACCTGTCAGTTCACTGGATTCATATTTATTGACTTACCAACTATAGAGCTGAGTATATACCCTGCAACAAAAACAGTCAAGGTTCCCTGCCAAAATGAAAAACTGAAAACAGGACAGAAAATGTTTAATGTATACTACTTTTTGTTTTTAGGTTTACTACTTAGCTCTCATTCAGGGGCACTGATTACCTAACGAAGTTAACACAATATTGATTTTCAGGGATTGCCAGCAACTACCCCATAGTACAAAGAATCTTCAATCGGGAATTACCTACGCTTTGCTATTACATTAAAAAAAAAGAAAAAATTTTCCTTCCTTTTCTGTAGTTAAATTCATAGGTCATAAACTGGAATGTCTTTTCAAATTAAACACTGCGAATGCAACTGAGGTAACTGTAGGGTGCTTCAGTATAATTTAGACAAGAACTTTGAATTGCACCACTTATGAGTCCAGATGTCTGTACACGAGTCTAAATGCTGACAAATAGCCTAAATTACAAAATAAGCAGTTTCTTAACTAAATGAAATTTACAGATGTTTTCAAAAATAAAGAGCATAAGCCTAATGAAAACATAAAAAGGAATAATACAAGTCAAAGACATATTTAATCCCATAAGGTAAATATCAGCTATAAAGTTATTTTAAAAATCATAGATTGAAAATCCAATGTTTAGAATGTCATTCAAATATAACGAGGCTATCATACTAAAGTGAAACATGATTGCCAATTAACTCATTTGACCAAATTACAATTATTATAAGAAATATATAGGCCCAATCCAAAATGTAATTTCATCCAACTATAAAACTAAGAATTTGAGTTACCTTATTAATCCTAAACATGTTTAATCTAACCATATCTAAAAGTTTAGATTCTAGTATACTTAGTGACAACTATGATAAATATTCTCACCTGTTCAATGACATAAAAGGCAAATTCCAGCCTTTGTTTCTGGAGCATTGGAATCAGATGTAAGAAAAAAATTGGAAGATGTTCATGGCGATTACGGAAAGGAATGAGAATTGCCACCTTTAAAACAAAATAGTCATGTATGTAAATAAATACAATAGGTAAGGATAAAAACCCCTGAAAACTTCTGATGTTTTAAAGCCACACCCTTATGAACTTTCTCACCACAGATACAACAGTAAGCACACATGGAGAAAGCCCTTGCTGCATGCTGCTATGGTCTTACAAAGCTAAGAGGTAGAAGGAGCTCTGAAGGTTGTTCTAAGGATTGTGGTCTTTAACCTGTGGACACCATAAGAAATTGTAGAAGGATTCTGAAAAGAGTGATAAATCAGATGTAGTGACTGCAAAGACTGCTTCGGTGGCAATATGGAGAGCAGACTGGAGAAGACCAAAAAATTGACTCAGGGAGCTGGTTAGGCAATTAATACAGTTGTTGAGAAAAGAGGTAATGGTAGCTTAAACTAAGAGGAAGATAAAGGAAAAGAGAAGTACACGGGTTTTCAACACATCTAAGAGGTAAGCTAGCAGGATATGGCTATCAATTGGGCATGAAAAGTAAGGGAGGGGGATGTATCATAAGAGTAACTTCTCGGTTTTAGAGTAGATCCTAAATAATAACTTTCTGGATTTTGAATTGAATTTAAAAGACATTTCACTTGAATATCTACTATCTTACACATGGTTTCTCTGTCCTAGAGATATTTTTCAGAAATATAATAGAAACCAAAATCTTCACACATGTGTTCCAGCCACAGCATACAAAAAACCTCAATCATACATGATATTGGCCCAAAATACACGTGAAGTTTGATAATATAATATTTTTCATTTTATCAAAATGCAGAATTAAGTTTTTGATAAAGTTTTAAAATTTACTTCAGTGGTAGGATAATTTTCAGTTTAAAATGAAATTGGTAACATACCATAACAAGAAAAGATGATGTAAGCAGCACAGAAATTTCTTTCATCAACCAAAGAAATTTGTTCTCATCCAAAAAGAAAAAAACACATACACGGAAATGAAAATAGTTTCCTAGTATATTAATCTTTCTTCTAATATGAAATTAAAAACCTAATGGGGCCAAGCACGGTGGCTCACGCCTGTAATCCCAGCACTTTGGGAGGCTGAGGCAGGCAGATCACAAGATCAGGAGTTCAAGATCAGACTGGCCAACATGGTGAAATTCCATCTCTACTAAAAAAGTACAAAAATTAGCTGGGCATGGTGACTCGTGCCTGTAATCCCAGCTACTTGGGAGGCTGAGGTAGGAGAATTGCTTGAACCGGGACCAGGGAGGCGGAGGTTGCAGTGAGCTGAGATTGCGCCACTGCACTCCAGCCTGGGCTACAGAGCAAGACTCCATCTCAAGAAAACACAACCTAATGGAACTCTCAAACCCAAACTTAAAAACATCATTTATATAATATGTTTTAATGTAATACTAGAATACATGAATGATCATCAATCATCACTAATTCAAATCCTCTATTTCTTGGATCCAAACTTACAATCTAGGTCTCCTTACAATTTAGATTTTGCCCTTGAAAAAGCTAAACTGGTTTCTAAATTACTTTTCTCAGCAACTTCCTAGCTAAGCTGCTTTTATTATTATTGCAAATTTTCTACTAAAATTGAAATTAAAACAAGCTTTCTACAGATCATAAATTCCCAAACCATTAGATTTTCAAAAAAAAAAAAAAAAAAAAAACCACAACAGTGAAAGTATATCTATCCAAAATACCTCTGTGTTACTCTATAATTTGGATTTTTTAAATATAAAATCTAAACTGGTTGTAACAGAATATTGTGAAAGATTAAATCTATGATTTACTAAAATTTTACCTATACCAAATAAAGTTTATTAATAAATGAATAATGCAAATAATTGAGAATTAATAAGCTTTGCACCTAATCTTTTTAAAATCAGACACAACATTAGGTATCATCAACAGAAAATAATATTTATCCACGTATTTTACATTACCAGAATCATAGATGGGAAAAATGTTTAAATTATTTAAAGTTTAACTTACAAAGAGAACAAAAGATGGTTTAGTAAAATTGAAGATATCTAAACTACGAACTCCACCATTCATTTTCCCTTAATGCTGATGGAATACCAAAAAAAACAGACAATGGCTGCTGTGAGGCTGATGTTTTCATATTTATATTAATTACTACATATCTATCTGGTAAGTGGTAGGAACTAAAGAGGTCTGGTGCCCCTGCCAGCCCAACTTTGGGTCCCATTCCTGTTTGGTTTTCCCATAAGGTCTCCCTTGGCTCAGGAGCCTGAGGACCATGAGACTATCCCAGCAGACCATGAGACTATCCCAGCAATACCAACCCAACACCCAAGACCTCTTTCTTGCCCTCACGCAAGGGCTGCCAACTATGCTGGAACTATATGCTGAGGGGGACTTACTGCTGGGCTTCAGCGCCAATGGCTGGCACATTCAAGGAATTCCCAAAACAACTGCCAAATCAGCTCAGGGGCCCCTAGGTTTACTTTTAGGATGGGAAAGTGCTATGAAAAGTAAAAGGAACAAACGGGGTTAGATGGCGAGTACGTATCGCACCACTGAGCTTATCTAGGACATATCCATGTGATAACATGTAGCTTAATAAGTCAAGCCTGCTCTTCTTGATTTTGCATTTGGCCACATGTCAATAAGCTGTAAAAGCAGTTAAGACCAATTATAGATATTTGAGGGAAGAAATTATTAAATGGCTGCAGGGTCCTGATTAAAGACAGTGCATATTAATTAAAGACAATTAGGCTGAGTGATGAGCCGAACATATAAGGATAAAGTTCTAGCTCCTAATCATCTCTTCAATGAAGTATTTAAATATCAAGAGTTTTTTTTTTTTTAATCTTACAAAGAAACTGGCAAGGTAATAAAAGAAAGAAATTACCAGTGTCTTGGCAAATTCAAATAAGCTAACCTAATGTGTTAACAGCAAACAGATGTCTAAATTTTCATGGGAGGGTTATTAAAGATTGTGAATACATGACAAATCTAAAGCAAAGATTTTTATTAAAAGACAGCTACACAATATCTTAAAAATTCATCTGGCTCATCCCTTCTTGTGTCTGTGGAAGAATGTTCTCCATAATTTACAATTTTTTTGTCTAGAAAAGATCTGTGTTCTGTGATCATTTATTTTAAGGCTTAATAGCCTGTTTCAGGTCATTCATTCTTCTCTGTGCCCTAATTTGCTGTTTGAGCCACTCTCTTGTTGATATACCTCCAGTGGAGATGGAGAACATCTGGTCACAATCTTCTGATAAAACAACACTTCATCTTCCTGAATCTCTCCTCACCACCTCTTGCTCAGGCAAAATTATTCCATTCAGTGTGCTCCTACTTTAAAACCACAAATCTTGCTGAACGTATTCATCATTTTTTCCCTTATTTTTTCATATGTACACCATGAGGAGATAATCAAGAAAAATGTTTATCACATCAATTTCTCCCACCAAGTTTCTGTCCTACTTTCAAATTTTCAGCACACCACCAGCTACGGTGTCCCTAAATGACATGGCTTTAGACTCGGTAACCTTAAGGTGAATCTAGCTATCTGCCACTGAGTAAGTAGAAGCTAGTAAGCCCTCATTCTCCTCCAGTGTTTTTAGTTCCATCTTCCTATTCCTCCTCATTTCCAGTACCTACAGGAGCAGTTCTCAAACTGGAGGCACTTGGTTAAAAATGCAAGTTCTTGTTCCTTCCCACCAAAAGACTCAGAACGTTTGAGGAGTGAGTTCAAGAATCTGCATTTTTTTCTTCTACAGATGGAATCTCATTCTATAGCCCAGGCTGGAGTGCAGTGGTGTGATCACAGCTCACTGCAGCCTCAAACTCCCGGGCTCAAGTGATCGTTCCGCCTCAGTCTCCCAAAGCACTGGAATTATAGGTATGAACTACCACACCTAGCCAAAAATCAGCATTTTTAGCACATGCCTCAAGTAGTTCTGAAACAGGGGCCAGGACTCATCTTTGAGGTACACTGTACTACAAATGAAACTGCAGGCCTCTGGGTAGACAAAAGCATCAAGCATCTGCCTGGTTCTTGAAGCCTGGAAGTTATAGACCAAAGTTGTTCATCAAGCCCTCCATCTGAAATCTGAATGGAAAGGCAATGTCACAGGTAAACAATTCACTTTTAATGACCTGCAAAGTATCCTCATGTTCTTCTTTAGATATATGCTTGCCCCATAAGGTGTCCAATCTGTGCAGAAATCTTCCACTCAAGCCTGCAGCACTCACAGATACCGAGGAATTGCTAAAAATTACCAGTTTTGAAAGATCTCAGTTCTAATTAATTTGCCATCAACTAACTTCGCTGGTATTTTTTTTCTCATTTAAAAAAGGGGCCTCAAATATTAAGAATCAAGTTGATGACAAATGTTTAATACAAATCTAGTTATTTCTTATTTCCCTCTCTCTCTCCACTGTTCCAGTATGAGAATGGAACATTATCAGTAAGCAGGCAGGGACAGGCAAGGGGAGAAACTATTTAACTAAATATTTAGTGATTTCATAGTTATATAATATTCACATGAGTATAGTTCACCTCTGAATAATCTCCAAAATTCCTCTCATAACTTTAGTTGTATAATTCGGAACTAGAGACTATATTCTGAGAAGGGTTTGCTAAAAATTGAAATAAAATCAGCATTATCATATAGTTCCTAAATATTTTTATTTTTATTTTGAGACAGAGTCTTGCTTTTTTGCCCAGGCTAGAGTGCAGTGGGGCAATCTCGGCTCATTGCAGCCTCTACTTCCTGGGTTCAAGCAAATCTCTTGCCTCAGCCTCCTGAGTAGCTGGGATTAAAGGCATGTGCCACCATGCCCAGCTAATTTTTGTATTTTTAGTAGAGATGAGGTTTCACCATGTTGGCTAGGCTGTCTCAAACTCTTGGCCTCAAGTGATCTGCCCAACTCAGCCTCCCAAATTGCTGGGTTACAGGTGTGAGCCACCGTGCCCAGCCAAAATAAGCTAATTTTTAAGCTGAATTAGTTTTCCAGGAACTCCTTTCAATACTGTTACCTACTGAGTCATATGTAGTTTATAGTCAGTTTACTAACATCCCTAAGTAGGAACTACTCATGTGATACAACTGTCTCCGGGAAAATGAGAAGAAAACAAACAAAAAAATTTAAAATCCATCTTGTATAGATGACTGGAAACAGGACAAGTATACTTCACTTTTCCTATCCCAAGCCGTTCCACTAGTATGCACCCAGAGCACACCTGAGGGGTGTGCTACATCCTGTACAAACAGCTGTCTGAGCATCAACCACCATGCTATCCCATAGCCTCGGTGACTGAGTGTGCTTCTTTTTCCATTAGCATTCAGCATACACACTCAGCACCCAACTGTTAAAAATAATTTATCTGCCCAGGCTATTTTTAAAAGGTAGAATGTGTGTAAATTGGGCTGCATTTCACAAAGACACAAATGTGAGGAAAATCAATAAAGAAATATAAACAGATTCATTTATTAAATGAATCTGATCTGGGAAACAGCATAAGGCAATTATAAAATAAAATGTTTTGCTAAAATTGGTACTGGAATCCATTTAAGCAGCTTCACAACTTGCTCAAGGCAATAAGAAAGCTGAACATTTAGCGAATCATTTGTGACAAGGCCAAAAAGGCTTTTATTTATCTTATAAAGTCAATTCAACAAAACTGTGTTTAGTGCTTACCTTACACAAGACAATGCACTCTGTGTTGGGAATACAAATATAAATAATACGCATCTTCAAACACAAAGAGTTCATGGTAGAGTCAGAGGGTCTTTTTCATGAGTTTAATAGCATGTGATTTTCCTTCCTACTAGTGATTTTTTTGGGGGGGTGGTTAACATACAAATATTCTAGAAGCATAGTAATGTTTTAAAAGAGAAAACTGAAACTGTTTCCAGATCAAGGTTACATCACGATCCTTTAGGAAATAACATTTAATCAGTTGTAATTTTCATTTGAATTACATAAATGCTATTTCTTACTCTAGTGTGATGACATTAGATAAATATGCACTTATTAACCAATTTCATAGCTTTGAGGGCAAGTTTGGTTTAAATTATGACTTTCAATTTTTTTTTAAAGCAGCAGAGACAGAGATACCCCCTTACAGTTTTTCAAACAAAACATTGAATAGAATTCTGATAAAAGACTGAAAGCTTGGGCTGTGCCTTCTGAAGCTGAGAAGAGCCCAAAGTCCAACCTTTCAAGTCCAACAGTGATCTCTGAGCAGCCTCTTTAGAATCTTGGATGCTGAGAAACAGAGCTTGAAGACCCCAATGCCAGCCAGACCAAACTGAAAATCAGGATATTAATATCCTCCCAGTGAGTTCTCACAATTACAGAAATGGGTGACGCTATGCCTGCAGGTGTCTGTAATCATTAGGGACAGCTGCAGGAGACAGGGAACTCACAGCCTCTCTTCCAAACAGAATAGAACAAAAAAAATCTATTTTCCAAGCCAAACTCAAGTCATGTATTTATTACCAGGAACTCAAAGAGAATGAACCGAGCACCTATTTTGTATATACCCAGGTGCATTTACAGTCTTCACACATAACACTTAAATCACATTTGAATTATAAATAGTAAACATTAAAGACAAAATTTTGATGTTTTAAATGTATTAAGACTTAAAGAGATTTGTCTCTGTATTTTGAATCAAGCACATTCTTTTCTCAAATGCGCAGTAATGGTTAAATTGCTTATGAAAAGAATTTACCTCACCTTCCATCTGGGTTTACAGTCTTTTGGCCTCCAATGACCCCCTGGCTCGATATCTAAATCCTTGGAGAAGAGTTGATGAATTTCATCAAAACTGACTTCACTTACATTGACATTGAGGAATCCTCCTACAAATTCAAAATGTGAAGAACTGTTTTAATATTTTTTGCCTCAAAGATCTAGTAAAACAAATAATCAGTAGGGTGATGGCATAACTAGTTGCCAGAACAATACAGTTTATTCCTGCAACCACCACAAAATTATGAATAGCGCCCCTTTCACTTTTGGTTTCAATGATAATATACATGGTCACCCTACTATGTTTGGTAAATCAGCCAAAGAAATCAAATTCTTTTTTAAAAAAAACCTTTTGCTTTTGGGTAATACATTGAATAATTTACTATTCTTTGGAAAATGTTTGTATGTCATTGTAACATTGCAATTTAACAACTATTCAAGTATTTTAATACCACTTTTAGTTTTCACATTTTCAACATAGGGGATACAACAGCATAGTACTTAAGAATGAAATAAGCAATCGGACTGACTAGAAACCAACTCCTAGCTTCTGTCTATTGGGAAAATTATTTAACTTCTCTGTGCCTCAGCTTCCTCTTCTGTGAAAGGGACAGTGATGCCTGCCTCCCAAGGCGGTTGTATCCATTTGATGAAATCATCTCTGTGAAGGATCACACGCAGTGTCAGGCATTAGGTGCAATCAACAAATGTTAGCTACTATTACTGTTACCTACTGACATTTCTTAAGAGGGAATTTGCAAATAATTCAAAGCATTGATTCTGAACACTTAACATATATCAGGCCCTTTGGCATACAAAACTGAAAAACCACTTCTAAGATAGTTCTGGTCTAATAGGCACTCATTCTCCAAATTAACAAATATATGACATTACTGGAGGTGTTTTTACCAGCAGTAAACTAGTAGACTAGTATACATTAGAAATAATGTATACCATTGAAACAGGAATGAATCTTGGCTGGAAAACCACTTCCATTAACCCTAAAACAGAACTGAAAATCAGGAAGCCTCTGTATCTCCCCCTGAATTAAAATAGCTGCATGATCACTAACATCCCTTCAAAGCAATGCTATCTTCAATGATTTCACTGTTAGAGAGAACAGGATGTAAAAAGCTATTGAAGCAAAACTACAGATCATCTTTTAGCAGTTTTATTGTCATTTGTTAACTTCCAAATAGGTACAAATTCCTCTGGAGCACCCTCCAGCCAAATTCTTCTCTCTGACCTCATCTCATAAAATACCAACAAACAAATGTTGAGGTTTCCATTTCAAGTCTTCTGAATTTCATGTGGCCACAATTTCACATAAAAAACACTCAGTTCCTCTCTAGAAGGCCTCTTTCCTCCTGCTATTCTATATTTCAGGAGTTTTCACAGTGGCCTCTCTTCCTGTCCCCACTTCATTCTAACCAGGCAGAGCTGTCAGTAGCCTCCACAGAGCCATGCTAGAGAGTATTTTACATCGAAATGCCTGCTTCCCAGAATAAGTTAGGAAAAAACTTTCAATCTTCTAATGCCTGCCTGTTCTACTGACAACATTTGTGGTCTTTTATAACCAAACACTCAGCCTTCAGTGTGACAAGATACGCATAAACTAGCTAATCTTAGAAAGGTCGGATTCATCTAAAAGCAAGAGAAACTTATGAACTTGCAGAGAAAGAGTAAGTAAAATGGAAGATTGATCAGTCAACGTAAGTACAGACTATCATGACTCAGCTGACAAAGAACAGAATCTAACATTGTAATCAAATAAAATTTACACAAATAAATCTGATACATTTAATAGTATGCATGATTGCTAAAATGATAGTAATTAGGCTAAATAATAAGCAGTTCATATAAGTAACTGAAGCTGATATTCTTTCTGCACTGTTAAACCAAATTTTTTGTCTTTTTTCCAGGTTTATTGCTTCAACAGCTGTAATCATCATTATTGTCAGCAATTTTCTCCAGCATCATTTGCAGTTTAATTTCCATCTCTAACGCATATGTGCTGGCAAGAGACAGGCTTTATTTCTTTCCCTCAATAGAGAGGGCTTCCTCTGTCCATCACATATTAGGATACCCATGCTGAACGTATCCTAAGTTCACACTCCTTGGTCTGTGCACCCACCTCATCCACACCTTTCAGAGTCCATCAGCAGCTTTCCTGTGTGCTTGTTGCCATTTGCTCTGAAATCCTAATAACGTGCTGATTGAAAGCCATAGATTGACCTGGTGGAATGCTCCCCATGATAACAGCAACATCGTTATATTAGGGAGTGTGGGCGGCCATGCCTCCCAGGACAGGTATTGTCACCACCGGGAACACCAAAAGTGTGATGAGAGAGAGAGGAAGAACAAACACTCATCACTGGGTTGGAGTGGTATTAGGGAGAAGATCGGATACACAGGAAGGGAAGGGAAAAGGCCATGTTATAAAAAGAGTGGCCGGGAAGAAGTACCCTGCAGATAAACTAACAGTGGTGTGGCTTCCAAACCATCCTCAAGAAGGACTTCTCTCAGGGATCCTGTGGTTGGAGGAGGGAGGACTCGGGCTCCCCCGACACAACCACTTTCATGGTTTTTGCATACTCTTTTGTCCCCTTTATGTTTCACTCAAGAAAGCCTTCCACTGCTTTACCAACAAAACAAAAAGCATCAGAAAACCACCTGCTATGAATGAAGCCAGGAGAGGAAACCTCCTTCTTATAAAGAAGGAAGCCATCAACTGGGCCAGCCTCCTTTATTTCACTTGCTGAGCTTTCAAGGGCAGCTGAAGAGATTCACTGAACTCCGCAGAGAGCCAATCTTCACTCTCTCCAGTGCTGAATCTGAGATTTTCTGTCATTGTTCTTAATCCCAGATATGACAGTATAAATCTGAGATTTTTAAATGGTACCAGTGGTTTCTTTCCCAGTTAGAGATTTAAAGATCAGAAAATAAATATAGGCTGAAATCCATTTACCCAGCAATGCAATAATTTACCAAATACTGAATTTCACTATTTTGAAGGTGGCGCTGGGGTCAGAAAGGAAAGAGCAGGAGAACTGACTGTCTAAAGAGTGGAGGGGCTGCCAAGTACCTAGAGGGTCAAGGTGAAGGACAGGGAACTCAAGTCAGCTGGAAGCTGCCTTCTAGTCATGTGTGCCAAGCTGCTTCTGTCATGTGTGAGAGTAACTTAGTTGCACCATTGGTTATGTAGGACATTTACTATAATTTCCTAATGCTGAATTTGCAAGATATGCAGCAATGCTGCCCATCTGGGAAAGCTAGGTATGCATGGGCCCAAACAAGGGGCTTACTGTGCTATGGATGATAATGTACATGGCACGATTTATGATTTTGTTTTTTCTATTAAAATATAATTCTTAAAATAACAAATATTCAAAACATATGAATTATCTATATTTATATTTTTCTAACATTTCAAGTAAAATATAAGGCATATAATCTCCAGACAGAGAATTGTTTGGTTTATAAATCAATAATTTTAAATGGCTATTTCATTTTGTTTGGAGCCTATATCTATTTTTTGTTATCTAAAACCTAATTCTAGATATGTTGGCTTTTGTCTGTTTTACCCTCCGGGTTTTAAATGTGCACAGCTCAAAGCTCTGATGACAGCGTCAGAGAAAGACCTGAATATCCCCTAGAAAGGTCCCTTAGGGTAAATTCCTCTCCAAAGCTAGAAAAGCATTTTTATTATAAGATGGGACATTCCCTCCCCCATCCTCTGTGCTGCCTTCTGAGTACAGCTCTGAGGCTGAACAGTTATGAGTCATCCAGCCATGGGTCACCTCCTGTCCTTTCTGAAGTTAAAACCAGATGCTGCCTATGTCAAATGCTTGACTTAAGCTTCTCGACTTCTAGAATTTTACAACCTCTGCTTAACAGACTATTCCTTACTCAAGTATTCTTGAAGCAATCAAACCTAAGCATTCTAAACATAAGACAGAGCATTAGTCACACATTGCCACTGCCAAAGGCAATGCCTGGACATTGAATGAATGAATGAATGAATGAGTAGGAAGATTCTTGTCTCGTCCCTGTTTCCACCTACCTGCATTTCTACTCCCAGGCTCCATCAAGTGGTAACGTATTTCTTTAAGACAGTCACGCAAAACTATGCATCCAACAAAGGCCTAATATCCAGAATCTATAAGGAATTTAAACAATTCAACAAGCAAAAAACAAATAAGCCCATTTAAAAATTAGCAAAAGATACAAACTTCTTAAAAGGAAACATTCAAGTGGCCAACAAACATTAAAAAATGCTCCAAATAACTCATTATCAGAGAAATGCGTATTAAAACCACAATAAGATACCATCAAACACCAATAGGAAAAGCCATTATTAAAAAGTCAGAAAACAACAGATGCTTGTGAAGGCAAGGAGACACATACTGTTGGTGGGAATGTAAGTTAGTTGAGCCACTGTGGAAACCAGTTTGGAGATTTCTCAAAAAACATAAAACAGATCTACCATTTGACCCAACAATCCTATTACTGTGTAAATATCCAAAATAAAATAAATCATTGTACCAAAAAGACACATGCATTCTTATGTTCATTGCAGCAATATTCACAATAGTGAATTCATAGTGACACCCAGCTCTGTGTCCAGAACCTCAATCACAGTCACCTAGAAATGACTGGCTTTCAACTATAACACTGTGCCCTCTCATTAAAGCCTCCTTCCCCTTCACCTTCCACCATTCCCCTACCACAAACGTTCCTCTTCAATTTCATGGAGACTTGAAGTCCTCTCTGCTATCACCACATTATCCTCTATCTGGCCTCCATATAAAATGGTTTGATAATTTTAGTGTGTGCCTAAGAATTACCAGCTGTGCTTGTTTAAAATGCAGGTGACCGGCCACATCATCAAAGTTTGTGTCAACTGAACGTGGGTCAGTTGGGTCAGTTGACCCAAACGTGACAGTTTGGGTCATGTTTATGGCCACTAGATTTATCCAAACACATTTCAGCAGCTTAAACTACCCACCATTGAGGAAAAGCTAGAACCCACTCTCCAAACCCCTCTAGCAGGTAGGAGCGCTCGTGTGACCAAACGTACCTGTAGGAGAATGGAAGCAGTAGCAAACAA